TGGTGGGTGGTGGTGGTGGTGGTGGGTGGTGGTGGTGGTGGTGGTGGTGGTGGTGGTGATGGTGGTGGGTGGTGTGTGGTGGTGATGGTGGTGTTGTCATTTGTTTTTGTTGCTGTTGTTGTTTGTGTTGTCTATTGAGGGGAGGAAAGGAAGGAACACAGAAAAGCCGGGAGGAAGGGTGAACCAAGGCAAATACGACACTCAGTGTGCGGGAAATGAACTGTGCAACTTGTGGACAGGGATAGGAGGGGTAAACTGGGGAAAAGTGAAGGAAGAGGTCACGTGTCCAAAGAGATGACTATGAAATGGTAAGCCCTCTCCCACCACACCTTAATAATAACAATACAGTTATATGGAAAACAAAGGGAACTGGGAAGTAAAATGGTTAAACTGTGGAGTCAGTGGAGTAAGAGAAAGAGAAAGAACGGGTCCTTCCCTTCCCCATTAAGAAACACATTTATCTGGAAAGAGAGAAGGTCTTGAAAGGTTTTCTGAAATCTCTACAAGTTCTATGTAATAATGCGAAAAAGTTAGCTAGAGTCAGGCACTGGCGGCTTACAACTGTAATCCCCGCTACTCAAGAGGCTGAGATCTGACAAGTTCACTTTGAAGCTGGCCCTGATAGACAAATCTACAAGACTCTTATTTCCAGCTGACTAGCCAAAAAAAAAGGAGCAAAGTGGACCTGTGGCCCAAGTGGTAGAGCGCTAGCCATGAGCCCAAACACTAAGCAAAAGTCAAGGCTTTGAGTTTAAACCCCAGTAGGACCATAAATGAATAGGGAAATAAACAGCAAATGAAAACAAAACACGTTCTGTCTTTTAAGGCTACAAAGCAGAAACGTTAGAAGGAAACACTGCATACAACAGCGGGACAGGAAATCTGTGGGTGCTCCTCCTCAAGTCTCATAAAAAAATTGGACATTGTTGAGGAAAGAGGAATATTTCTGGGATGCTAACACGATTTTATTTGTATGGAGAACTAAACTGTGGTGCTGCAAAGAGTAACAGAAAACTTTAATGAAACTTCTCATCCTAATGAGTTGTGTGAATCAGCCTGGCAGAAAATGGTATAACGCCATAAAATCTCTAAGAGGGAAAAAATGCCTACTAAATTTTTATTCCAATTGGAATGACACTGTTTTAGAGCTAAGGTTACTTTTTTTTTTTTTAAGAAAAAAATACAGTTCATAAGGAACTCCTCCTCAGTAATTTAATGAAATTAATTCGCATGTAGAACCTCATGGCATTTTTCTCTGAATAAACTGCTCAAAAGTTCAAGCAGCTACACTCTTTTGTATCCAGTTGGAGAGTTGAGAAGGTAGAATTAGAATGAACAGGTCAAGAGAAATTTTAAATAACCTGGTTTATAGATTCTAGGAGATCAACTTGGCTGCATACAGATAAAAATGTGCCGAGACTGCTTGTACATTTTTAAGTATGTTCTTTCCAATGGAAGGGAAGACATCTGAAACCATCTTTCCTTTAGAGGGATCCCACTAAAAGGAGTAAGAAATATCCTTCCTGCCACATAACATATCAACTCGTGTGTGACAATTATCCTTTTCTAGTTCTTGATGAGTCAAGGAGAACCCACAGAGCAGACCTGTCTAATCCAGGTAAAGGTGTTATTTGTTTTGCCTGATATGTAAGACCAAGTTCAAGTCATTTATAGTTATAATGAAAACAATTATGAGACAGTTTAACACTGGAGTATCTAACGCTGTCGTTCAAAGTTCCATCAACACAGAATTCACACTGGTCTGTTTTCTGAGGTCTGAGCAACTCACACTAGTATAAAATAGTGAAGGAAATAGAGTCATAATAAATGATGTAAGCTGATATATTTATTTCTACAAGGCGTTTAGACTGCGTAATTGTGTAATTTTTTTTTAAGTAGAAATACCTCAGAATACAGCCCAAGTATTTTCAAATAGCCAACAAAATGTAATTTATGGGAAATTTTTCTGTAGGGATGTGGTTGTACATGCTTTTTTTCTTAAAACAAAAAGTATAATGAAGATGGGTAGGATAACTCATGCTCGGAATCCTAGCTACTCAGGAGGCAGAGATCAAGAGGATTATGGTTGGAGACAAGCCTGTGGGAAGGGAATAACTAACGAGACATCATCTCAACCAGTTAAAAAAACCAAGCATGGTAGCATGTCCCTTTCATCCCAGCTACCTGGGAAACATAAATAGAAGTCCGGGGTGTTGGGGTGGGGCGGGGAGGGAAACTAATGGAAAAACAGCAAAAGTAAAAGCAGCTGAAGGCATGGCTAGAGTAGTAGAGCACCTATTTATTCACAAGCGCAAGGTCCTGAGTTCAAACCCCAATACCATCAGAAGATTACACGTTCTAGATTTCACTTTCTAAACCTAGAATGCCCTGGTCTTCTTCTCCCTCCTTGTCCCATATTTGCAAGGGAGAAGAAGAAATGAGGGAAAGTTACAAAAGGGCAGGGAAAGCATTTTAAAAAGAAATGCGATAGGATTTATGCGAGAAAATGAGTCTGTTCTTACTATACTTCACATGCCAGGTTTTTACACACACTGGTCCATTATGATCACCATAATTGCGTTAACCACCTCTCAGCAGAGTAAATAACTCAAATACATTATGCCTTTCACGGACATTAAATGATTATAAGACTGCCCCCAAAATGTATGATACAGAACATGTATGGCATTCAACATGTATGGCATTCGACATGGGTGATACACCATTTTCAGCGTGATGTTCCTTCCCGTAGGGGGACATGGTTTGTTTAACTCCGTAAAGGAGTGGAGACCACACCTCCACATGGTTGTCAACCAGAAATTCTAAGCTGTTACAACTCTCATCCTAACAATTTTTTTTTATAAACAGTAAGAAAACTTTGCCTTTGAATCCTGCTTGTATCTGTGAACCACTGGTATGATTTGGGGTCAAGGTATTAGTTCCATGGAAAACTACGGTTTCCTATAGTCGTACCATTCCTAGGAAGGATTACTTTTTACATTTTTCATTATTCATTTATGTATACCTGGGCCTGGTCGTGGGGCTTGAACTCAGGGCCTAGGTGCTGTCCCCAGAGTTGCAGCTCCACTTCCGGCTCTCTGGTGATTCACTGAGGCCTTCTTTCCCAGGCTGGCTATCAATGGTGGTTCTCAGATCTCAGCTTTCTAGAGTAGGTCTGGGAAAAGGAACACTTTTTTCTTTTTTTCTAGTATTTTTCACCTCAAAAATGCTGTGACAAAGAGGTGAGAATGCTCCATTCTCTGCAGCAAGAAAACGATTTCTCCTTAAAATCCACTAGGGAGCCTAGTGTTTACAGTTGTGGAATAATTCTCCAAAGAAAGCAGTGTGTTGATTCATCTAACTAGTGGATCAAATAAACCATTTACTGAACTCTACCCATACTTACAGGATTTCAGAATTTTTGTGTGTGTGTAACTTCTATTAAACAACAGAGCTTGCTTTTGTCTCCTGGAAATCATGAAAGTTTGAGACTCTTGTTCCTTCACTGAATTGTACTTGTCACTGACGGTGAGAGGCTGCCATAATTTCAACACTTGATGGCTGGAATTATTTTAAAACAGTTTCGACGCAAAGCACCTGTTACTGAGAATGAGGATGTGTGCTTTGGTCTAAACCAGCAACATGGAAATGAGGGAAGAGTTTTAAATCACAGACTGGTTAGCTATATGCAAGCCACGTGAGCTCCAAGCCCCGAGTTCGAGCCCAGGTACCAACAATCAAAAAGTACTCTGTATAGTTTGCAATTACATAATTACAGCTAAGTGAATGACAGGCGTTGGGTTAGAACTTTGCAACGATATTCCATTGCCTTGGTTAGCTACTTTCATTCATGTCTCTTGGACTTAGAGTTTAAAAATGTTTTGTTTTGTTTTGTTTTTCAAGCCAGGTGCCAGTGGCTCACTCCTATAATCCTAACTACTCAGGAAACTAAGATTTCAGGATTGTGGTTCAAAGCCAACCGTGGATAGGAAAAGTCCACGAGATTAAGCTTCAATTAAACTTCAAACAAACTGGAAGTGGAGCTGCGGTTCAAGTGGTAGAGCGCTAACGTTAAGCAAAAGCAGCTCAGGGACAGTGCCTACAACCTGAGTTCAAGCTCCAGAATCCCCCCCCTCCCCCCACACACACATGCTCAGGGACAGTGCCTATGCCCTGAGTTCAAGCTCCAGAATCCACCCCCCACCCACACACACATATGCTCAGGGACAGTACCTACGCCCAGAGTTCAAGCTCCAGAATCCCCATACACACACACACAAATGCACGCGTGCGTGCACACACACACACACACACACACACACACACGCTCAGGGACAGTACCTACACCCAGAGTTCAAGCTCCAGAATCCCCATACACACACACACACACACACACACACGCTCAGGGACAGTACCTACACCCAGAGTTCAAGCTCCAGAATCCCCATACACACACACACACACACACACACACACACACACACACGCTCAGGGACAATACCTACGCCTTGAGTTCAAGCTCCAGAATCCCCATACACACACACACAAATGCACGTGTGTGCACACACACACACACACACACACACACACAGAGTTCTTTCTGCCCCTGTACTTCTGTTTGGGTACTCCAACCCACCCTAATAAAAACATTTACAGACATATTTTTTTCAACATGAACGCCTAGAGGAAAAGAATCATTTCTCTACAGTAATTTCTCCTCAAATGCGGTTCAAGTTCTTGGCTGCACACTTGGACTGAACCCCCCACCACTGGCAGACCTGGCCCAGAGTGCCGCCATACGTAAAGTTCACCCAGCACCCAAGGACACGGTTCATGAGTGGGGCCCTGAAGGAACTGTTCAGGTTGGAGGTCAGTTTTGTTCAGGTCACATCAGGATGCAAAAATGGAGTTAGATCATGTTATAGTGAGAAGCAGATTAAAATCATGAGGCAACCTGATGTGTGCAGGGGCTGGAAGGTCGCGGAAGGAGGGTTTCTGACCTGAATCTGTTGCTGGAGCAAATTGATTTTGTGTTGCTGCTGCAGAAGTTGTTGCTGCTGTCTGGCAATCTGAAAAGAGATCAAAGGAGGCAAGGTTACCATCGTACTGACTTTCTGGGGGTGGGGGCCGGAGGGGGGGGCACCAGCTTCTTGTCTCCCCATCGATGAGGATATAGACCACCACGGCCTACACTGTACGCAAGTCATCCTTAAGAAGGACCAGACGAAGGATTTAGGCTCTAGGACCAACTACTTGGTCTCTTTCCTTTGGCCTAGAACAGAGAACCCCGAGGTCCTGCAGCCTGATCTACTCCAGCAAGCCACAGAAAGGGAGATGGCCAAAAACGTCCACAGTTCCCACATGGCCAGCCTTTCTCTATCAGAGAAAGAGGGCTTATAAAACAACAATGGGGCTGGGAAGGTGGCTCAGTGGTAGAGCGCTCGCCTCGCATGCATGAGGCCCTGGGTTCGATTCCTCAGCACCACCTACGCAGAAAAAGCTGGAAGTGGCGCTGTGGCTCAAATGGTAGAGCGCCAGCCTTGAGCTGAAGAGCTGAGGGACAGCGCCCAGGCCCAGAGTTCAGGCCCTACAACCGACCAAACAACCACAGCAGCAGCAGCAACAACCGTTGAAGTTGTTGTGACAAAGGGTTGGGTGTGACTCGCATGAAGTTTAAGCTAAATGTAGCTTATTTTTGTGGTGGTGGTTTGTGAATTCAGTTGTCATGTTGGCCTCTGGCAAACTCTGAACCACCAGCTCCTTCCACACACACAAATCCAGGTGTGATTCTCAGCGTCAACAGTCACTTCTGTGTCAGCAATCCCCAAATGTGTCCCTGAGTTGATTGTTTGTTTGCTTATGCTGGTTACCTGGGATTGAACTCAGGCCCTTGGGGTCTTCCTGCTTCGCTTTGACACGCAATGCTGGAACTCTACCAGCTGAGCCACAGCTTTGCATCCAGCTTTTTGCTGGCTAATTAGAGAGAAGAGTTTGCTTAGGTTTGTTTCTCTGGGTTGATGCCACACTGAATCTCAGATCTCGGCCTCCTGAGTGGCTAGGATTACAGTGCCCAGCTTGAACCCTTACCTTCTCACATTTCCTTAGAATCCAACTGTCAACCCTTTTTCTAGAACTTTCTCCAGCGCCTCTGGTATTTCCCTGGTTTTCTTCCTTCCGCTTCTGTTATTAAATGTGAAAGCTCTCCAAGCTCAATTACAATCACATTCATTTCTCTGAACCTCTTTACCTGGGTATGTCAAGTGTCCTGGATTGGATCGTTTGGCTCTTCATCTGTGTTTATGCTGTTGTTTTGGTGCTTGTTTGTTTGTTTTCTGCTCTTAACAGGGCTTAAACCCTGGACCTCCTGCTCTTGCTTTTTTGTTTTTCTGTTCAAGGGAGTCCATCTACCACTTGAACCACACCTCCCTTGTGACTTTTTAGTGGTTAATGAATGAGTCTCATGGGCTTTCTTGCCGTGGCTGGCTTTGAACTGTGATTCTTGGATCTCAGCCTCCAGGGTACCCAGGATTATAGGTGTGATGCACTGGTTCCCAGGTACACCTGCACTTTTAGAGTCAGAGTCATTCAAAGGCTCATGCTCAACAGCACGAACAGGACCTAAGCTGGTTTCTGAGTGTCCTGCCCCTGACCTGATGAGTTTTCCCACACAGCACAATCATTACCCTGTTGTCTGGTCTCAGAACCACCTTTCTATTTACTTACCACAATGTATCATGACTTTATGTTCTTTTACTTGTTTTTCCTTTTATGCCAATTGTGGGGCTTGAACTCAGGGCCTGGGCGCTGTCTGTGAGCTCTTTTGCTCAAGAGTAGAGCTCTACCACTTGAGCCACAGCACCACTTCTTCTGGTTTTCTGGTGGTTTGTTGGAGAGAAGGGACTCATGGACTTTCCTGCCCAGGCTGGCTTGGAACCGTGATCCTCAGATCTCAGCCTCCTGAGTAGCTAGCATGACAGGCATGAACCACTGGCTCTTAGCTTCATTTATTTTTTTTTTCTTTTTGTCAGTTGTGGGTCTGAATTCAGGGCCTGGGCGCTGTCCCTCAGCTCTTCAGCTCAAGGCTAGCGCTCTACCACTTGAGCACAGCACCACTTCCGCCTTTTTCTGCTTGTGTGGTGCTGAGGAATCGAACCCAGGGCTTCATGCATGTAAGGCAAGCGCTCTACCACTGAGCCACCTGCCCAGCCCTTCATTCTGTCTCTGAGAAAGAAGTCCACATGTGTTTTAAAGGTAAGCAGAAGGAGTATGTACGTTTCATTCATGTTGACTCAGAGATGGTATGGGAAGAAATTGAACATTTGGTAAGAAGGTAAGAATTCATAGATTAGAAGAGAATTTTAAATGCTTTATTTTATGATCGAAGGTAAATAAACTGCTCAGAAGGATGTAAAATGTCTAACCTCTCTAGGGAACTTCCACATGGTTATCAGTAGCTCTAGATCACATTCTGATCTCCTTGGTTAAACACAGTTCTGGATTTCGTTCCCAACAATAAATGAGAACCATCTCTATCACTTCCCTCACAAGAGCATCGCCTTGACCTTCTGAAAGCTGGGTAATCAGAAAATAAACAGACACGTGACCAGGACTAAAAGCAGGAGAGCCGTCTAGCTGGCTGCGGGAAGTTCATTCTCTTGTGAGCAATGGTACAACTGTATGATTTTAATACTTCCATTTGGTCTTTGAAATGCTGCGAAATGACACTTCACAGGTGGAGGAATAGCATCCATTGTGCCGAGTTCTGTCCTTCCACTCATGAAATTTGCAAAAGTCCTTTCAGCGGTAGCTGGAGGAGCTAGCAAGTAGGGATCCCAGCTCTCGGCGCTTGCTTTTGCTTGGGGCCAGTCACTTCCCTGGGCGATGTGTCCCGATCCCTCCCAACTCGTTCTCAACAGCCTACCCCAAATGAGCATGCGCAGAGTTCCTTTCAAGTGACAATGCCTGCCCGGTGCTCGTAGCTCATGACTGTCATCCTCTCCCGGTTCAAAGACAGCCCGGGCAGGAAAGCCCTTGAGACCCTGATCTCCCATGAGCCACCAGAAAACCAGCAATGGTGCTGTGGCTCAACGTGGTAGGGCGCTAGCCTTGAGCAAAAGGAGTTCAGGGACAGTGCCCAGGCCCTGAGTTCAAGCCCCAGGACCGGCACACAAACAAGTGAATAAATGGAGATGGGCCCCTTTGGGTCTCACTCAGTTAAAGTCTAAAGGGCTGCCTCGCTAGCTTTGTCAGCCTACTCTTCCCTTCTTCTTTCATAAGCTGCCCGCGGATTCACTCTGGGCCTCTGGGCCCCTGTGCCTGCTTGCTCTTCCTTCCATCTGGAATAGTGTGACTGGGGGGGAGGGGCGCAGGGCTCACCTGCTCACCTTCTAGAAGGTTCTGTTCGGGTATGATCAGGTCATGAGGTTTTCCTTGAACACTGTTTTTAAAGCTGCCCATCTCCCTAGGATGCCCTCCTCTCCAGTGCCCTGCTTGGCACTTCCCATGAATACTTCACAACATGTACCACAGTGTCCCGATTAATTTACCTAGCTCTTCCCACCACACGTTAACATGGAGGGGATTTTTATACCCTGCTACACTTCCTGTAAGTAAGACGGAATCCAGCATCAAATCCACGTTCAACATGTCCTTGTTGAAGAGATGAACATGGAGTAGAGCTCAGACATAATCTCCTACAGCTGGGTGTGGTGGCTCATCCCTATGAGCCCAGCTACTTCCGGGGTAGACGTGGGAAAGAGCACAGCGAAAGGTTAGGAAAAAGAAAGTTAGGAGAATGCCGTCTCCACAAACCAGCCAGGCATCGTGGCTCACACCTATGTTGGGGGCGGAGACAGAGAGATCCACATCTAAGGCCCGCTTGGGCAAAAATGCATGAGACTCTAGCTGAAACAAAAAACAAAAACCCAAACTTCCTCGAAAGAAACTAACAAGTAAGGGTAGGGTAAGGGCTGGGACGCATGGCCAAGAGTAAGGCCCCGAGTTCAAATCCCATACTGTCGGAAGCGGGGAGGCGCCTGGAGGAAAGGTGGAAGGCCTGGGTGCAAGTACTGGTGGTCAGAGGGCAGGTGAATCTGCGAGAGGAGAAAGGCCTGCTAAACGGGATACAGTCCCGATCGTCCCTCACACCCACGTCTGTAATCAGGGTGAAGGCACCCCCCGCCCGCCCCCCGTGGGCTTACCGTGGGAGGGGAGCTGGGATGGAGGGGAGGGTCTCTGCAGAGCTGACCTGGAGGTGGCATGGAGGGGCAGGGTCGCTGCAGAGCTGACCTGGAGGTGGTTCCAGAGAGGCCTCCTCTCCAGGGGTGGGGGTAAGCACCGCCAGGCCTCCCTCTGACTCAGGAGAGACACCGTGGAAGGGCAGCAGGTTCCTACGTTTCTAAGGTGGAGGCGAGAGGGCTTGAGAAAGCCAGAACGTTCCAGAATGTTCTAGAATCCTCGCCGTGCCATGTGGGGGTTGGCCAGAAACCGTGAAGTCCAGAGAGAAAAGAAACTTCCTCTCCATTAAGCGATGGTTTAAAGCCTTTCAGGGCAAGTGTGCCATACACACTCACCAAGGAATCTCGGGGTTCTCTACCAAGCAGTAGTCTCCCCTGGAGCTACACTCCCAGAGGCCCTCAGAGTCCCTGCAGAGAGTAATGTTACTCTGTGCTAACTACACTCATCCTGGGACTCACACAAGAAGAATACGGGTTGTCTCTAATTAATAGAGCAAATACATTTCAGTAGAAGTAAAAATAAAATAAAACAAAAAAGTAAAAATAACAGAACAAATAATAATAGAACAAAGACATTTCAGTAAAAGTAACAATAAAATAATTTTAAAAAGTAAAAATAATAGAACAAATGATAATAGAACAAATACATTTCGGTAGAAGTAAAAATAAAATAAAATAAAAAAGTAAAAACAATAGAACAAATAATAAGAGAACAAATACATTTCAATAAAAGTAAAAACATACAGAGTATGGTAGTTCATTTCTGTAATCTCAGTACTCAAGAAGCTAAGGCAGGAGTAGTTGTAGCTTTAAGTCCAACCTGAGCAACATAACAAGACCTTGCTTTGAACAACAACAAAAATTACCTGTCAAGCAGAGAAGCCCCCCTAAGTAAAGGAGAGTAAAATGAACAAGTAGAGCACCAATGGCTCAGGCCTCGCTACTCAGGAGGCTGAGATCTGAGGATCCAAGCTCAAACGAGCTTGCGCAAGAAAGTCCCTGAGATTCTTATCTCTGATTAACCACCAAAAGCTGGAAGTGGCACTGCAGCTCAAGTGGTAGAGCACCAGTCTTGAGCAAAAGACAGCACTCGGGTCCTGAGTTCGAGCCCTAGTACACTCCCTCTCTCTGTCTTTTTGTCTCTCTGTCTCTGTCTCTCTGCCTGTCTGTCTCTCTCTCTCTCTCTCACACACACACACACACACACAGAACTATAAATGCTTATACCTCTCCCCTTGTCTTTCTCTGTCCCTGATCATTATCCTACCTCATTTAGAATTAAACTCTATCAACGCGGGCTCCTCCCCGGTTAAATTTTTTCAGCCATTCTAATAGCTTTCTATTTAGATGATTAATAGCATCTTCACTGAACATTCTTCTTCCCAAGTCGTTTCCTTTGTTTAAGGCTGCCTGTTCTCCAAATCTTCGCTCAAGTGTCTCCTGATGGGAAGGGTTTTCTTGGCTCTCCAGGATTCCGTCTATGTTCCGCTTTTATCGCCTATTGGAATTCCCTGGCTATAATTGTAAATTGAATATCCTCTACCTGAGATGGTTAGGACCAGCAGTGATTTGGATTTCTGATACTGTTGGATTTGGGGCTATTTGTACATACACGGTACAATATTTGGGAAAGAGGACCCAAGTCAAAGCATGTGATTTGTGGGTGTTTCTTATATGTTTAATGCACAGAGCCTTACGATAATTTCAGACAGCATTTCCAGCACGCCTAGGTTTTACTGAGTTACTTATTTAGGGCCTCATGCTCTTCCTCAGCTTTTTTCCTTCAAGGCTGGCGCTCTACCACTTGACCCATAGCTGCATTTCAACTTTTTGAAGGTTAATTGGAGTTAGGAGCCTCACAGGCTTTTCTGTCCAGCCTGGCTTTGAACCTGGATCTTCAGACCCCGTCTCCTGAGTGCTGACAGTTGATGACAGGCATGTGGGTCCCTGGTACCTGGCTGTGACTGCAGTCAGGCCCGTGAGGAAACGTCACACTGTGGAGGAGCTCACCCGTGCCTGCCAGCCAGCACGGCAAAGGTTGCGTGTTCTGAAGCATTTCAGATTTCAGGGGTTCTGCAAAGGTTGCGTGTTCTGAAGCATTTCAGATTTCAGGGGTTCTGCAAAGGTTGCGTGTTCTGGAGCATTTCAGATTTCAGGGGTTCTGCAAAGGTTGCGTGTTCTGAAGCATTTCAGATTTCAGGGATTCTGCAAAGGTTGCGTGTTCTGAAGCATTTCAGATTTCAGGGATTCTGCAAAGGTTGCGTGTTCTGGAGCATTTCAGATTTCAGGGTTCTGCAAAGGTTGCGTGTTCTGGAGCATTTCAGATTTCAGGGGTTCTGCAAAGGTTGCGTGTTCTGGAGCATTTCAGATTTCAGGGGTTCTGCAAAGGTTGCGTGTTCTGAAGCATTTCAGATTTCAGGGGTTCTGATTAGGAATGCTCAACCTGTGCTGCCATCTTCCCACTGAATTTACCCATGAATCTGTGTGTGTGTGTGTGTGTGTGTGTGTGTGTAATGGATTGACAAATAGCAAAGTAATGTCTAAGACAAGGGACTGCACCTCTTTCCTTGCTTAACTGTCTTGTTTTTTGTTTTTTGTAGGTTGTAGGGCTTGAACTCAGGGCCTGGGCGCTGTCCCTCAGCTCTTCAGCTCAAGGCGAGCGCTCTACCACTTGAGCTACAGCGCCACTTCTGGCCTTTTCTGTGTCTGGGGTGCTGGGGAATCGAACCCAGGGCCTTGTGCATGCAGGGCGAGCGCTCTACCACGGAGCCACCTGCCCAGCTCCTGCTCTCTTTAATTCTCACTTCTTCTATTATCTTTAAGAACTTATCCAAATGGGCTTCGGCTCGAGGTGTCGGTGTATGAGCCCAACGCACGCTGATCCACATCACCCCTTCCATTGTCCTCCCCCGCCTCCCCCCCACCCCCCCACCCCCCCCTTCAAGTCCCTGGCTCCATGTTCGCCTAGGAACATGATGATTTCATTTTCCCACTCTTCCTCCTTCCATTCCCCTGCCTTTTGCTCCCTTTGAACTTAACCCTCGGCTCCCACAGCACAAGCTCTAGCTTCAAGGTGTACGTTAGTTGTTCCCAAAAAGTGACACGGTGGGAATCCTCCCCTGCGGATGCCACACTGCAGCTCCTACGCGCGTGCCTTTGTCTGGGGGTCCCTCTGTCTGTTCTGTCTGCTCCCATGCATGTTTGGGACCTATGTCCAGTTTCCACACAGGAGAGCCGGCACGTCTCCTCTGACTCTCGGGCCGGCCTTCCCCGAGTCGCCCGGCCCAGGTCCGGCCGTGGCCCTGCTCACCTGCTCTTGCTGCTGCTTGGCAAGCTCCATCTGCTGGCGCTGCTTCTCAATCTGGGAGGCGGCCAGCTTCTTCTGCTCGTCGTGGGCGGCCAGCAGCTGCTCGCGCAGGCTGGTCAGCTGGTTGATCATACCCATGAGCTGCCGCTCCTTCTCCGCCAGGCTTTCCGGAGTCCCTGCACAACGGCACACAGAGAGAGAGGACGCATAAGAGAAACAAGAACTTGTCATGATGCAAGTTCGAACCACACACACACACACACACACAGGACCCTGGTCTGCAGAGCACCGGTGGCTGAGGTCTCTAATCCCAGCTACTCAGGAGGCTGAGATCTGACTAGGGATGGCAGTTCGAAGCCAGCCTGGGCAGGAAGAGCCCATGAGACTCTGTAGTTTGAATTGACCAGCACAAATCCAGAATGGGGGTGTGGCTCAAGTGGTAGCGTGCTATCATTGAGAAAAAAAAACAAAAACCAAAAAATGCTCAGGAACTGTGCCCCAGAAATGAGTTCCTTGGTGGACTGGCTCATTAAATATTTTCAATCTTTTTGTGTTTTTTGTTTTGTCTCTCATGGGGCTTGAACTCAGGGCCTGGGTGCTGTCCTGCAGTTCTTCAGCTCATGACTGGTGCTCTACCACTTGAGCCACAGCGCCACTTCTGGTTTTCTGGTGGTTCATTGGAGATCAGAGTCTCGCAGAGTTTGTTGCCCAGGCTGGCTTTGAACCATGATCCTCAGATCTCAGCCTCCTGAGTAGCTGGGATTACAAGCATGAGCTACCAATTGCCTGGCTGTATCTATTGTTTTCAAGTTCTATGCTGGACCTATGGAGGATAAAAATGATGTCTAAGTAAGGCACCGTTTCTGGACTTCACTTTGTCATCTAATTAAACAGGCAAAGACAGGAAAACTTAAAACCCATAATTACTAAGACACAAAGCCATTAGCAATGATAAGTTTTCCCCTTCATTTAAAACTATCCTAAAGATTCAACTCTAAGAGATTCTGTGTTAAGGTTAACAAAGGGGAAAACGCTTCGGTCCGGGGGTGAAGTTTATTTGGAGAGTATGTACTTGTTAGTGCATGTAAAGGCCCTGGGTTGAGTCCCCAGCAACCAACAAACACACACACACACACACACACACACACACACACACACACACACTCTGCAGATGGGTGGTGGGGAAGGTCGATCAAGTTAAAATTGTTAATGCACAACTCACAGAGGGATCAGGAAACAGACATTCAAGTTTGAGAACACAATAGGCTTTCCTGAAATACTGAAATGTGGGTGAAAATGAGCATCGCTTATAGTCCCCCCCAAATTATACCTAGATCTAAGATCTGGAAAAGAAATCAGGGCGCCCACTGAGGGAGAGAGTGGGCAAATACAGCCATCATATTCAATGCCCATAGGGAACCATGAGGCCGGATGAGGTGGAGAGGGGAGAAGAGAGGAGGGGAGGGGAGGGGAGGGGAGGGGAGGGGAGGGGAGGGGTGACACGCATCAAGAGGCATTGTCCTCATCAGCCGACACGCTGAATTGAAACTCCTGTGTACATGACTCGATGATACTAAAAGATAATTAATTAAAAAGGAAAAGATATCCTAGGTCCATGATACTTAAAACACGCCGAAGGGTCTTAAGAGAGGTTAAAATACTTGTTTGATGGACCAGGCGTGTGTGCTGTGCAGAGAGATAGAAATAGCACCACTTCCAATTGTTCTTTTAAAACCCACGGGTAGATGTGACCCCTCTGGTATAGCCTGAGCAGCGGGAGAGAGCGTGTTTGTTAATTACAATTTTCACTTCAAACGTAAGATACAAAGCGCTGTTTTAATAATGCATTTGCCACCTGTATGCATCATTAGGTAAAACGAGGTGCTAGCGCTCCGTCTCCTCCCCATCTCCCCGCAGTCTTCATCTATGACGTGGGAGGAAGTATTAGCTACTGTTGGTGGCTTATATTTTACCTGTGTCCATTTGGGATGGAAACGAAGTTTCTAAGTTAAAAATAATAATAATAATTGAATGTATTTCTAATAAACAGACATCCAGAATAAAATGTCGTGTGTGAATATTAAAAAAAAAAAAGATTCATCCGTTGTGCTCTTTCTTATTATCAGTCGTGAACGTTGATACTGAAAAAAGGCTACTGGCTCTCACCAGTGCCATCCTGGCCAGGTGGTGGATGATAGGGAATTGGACTTCAGGGGCGCCATCTTGTTTTCATGGTGGTGACAGGCAGGCCTTGGATGATAGGTTACTGGACCTGTCACTTCTGTGGTCCGAGCGCTCCGGACTCTCCAGCTTCCAGTGAACCTGCCCCTGGGCCCCGACCAGACTTTGGCCTGGACCAACTCAGGGGCCGTAACAGCACGCCTCCTGTCTCCCGGCTCCTGGCTCTTCTCTGGTCCCCATTTCAGCTCTCCTTGGAAGTTGATCTGGTTTGTTGGAATCGTTTTCCTGCTCTTTCTTTCCTCTCCTGCTGTCATGGCTCAGTTCTCTCACAGTGTTAAGTGTACTCGCGGGGCAACAGATTCAAGCTCTTAAGATGTGGCTTCTCTGTTTCTTGCGACTGAGGTCCCGTACAACAATACATCCTGGGGCCAATCGATGGTTACTCAGGACTTAATAAATCTCAGATATTTGGATTCCAGAGGCACGGAGGAATATTTCTTCAGAATAATTAGCTAATAGGTATTATTTCTTAATAGTCGGTAATCTGAGTACCATCAATGAAAATACTCATATGATATGGAAGTAAACCGCTGTGTTGATGCACACGAAGAAGAAGAAACAGTATATCTGGGAGTGTTTTACAGACCTCGCCCCATAAAACAAGGAGGAAGATAGGGAAATACTAGTAAGTGCTTTCAATGAGAAACGAAGCACTCTGCTCATCAACTAGGATTAATCAGACAGCGACGGGACTTTCATAAAGGAGAATTGTTTTAAAGCCCTGAAAAAGTTGCATTTGAAGAACAGTTTAAGGTTTTGGATCTTGTTCATGATACAAAGCTGGGTGAAAGAGTTGGGTAGAAAAAATGTTTATATTAATGTGCACACACGCACACACACGCACACACACACACACACACACATACACACAGACCCTTTCCCACCTCATATATTCACAGGGAAAAAGGCTGAAAGTAATCTCCAGTGCTATGAATTAAACTAAGGTTTAGATGGTGCTCTACCCCCTGAGTCACGCTCCACGCCATCCTTTTTGCTTTGTGAACATTGAGAGTAAGAAAAACACTTCTCCACACCCTTTCAAGTTGTGAGTCTAATATTTTTCAAATTACCTTGAAAGCCGTGTTGTCGGTGTTACTTAAAACCAGGCTTTAAGAGTATAAGGCTTATTAAATACTCAGGGCTTACTGGCGTATTTAAATGACTGCCATGTGAATTCTGCCTTCAACTGGCAGCCTTTTAAATGGTTGAGAAAGGGATCTCCTTTTTCTCTGACTCTGTCTCTTTCCCCTTTTCTTTCCCTTCCTTCTTCCCATTCATTTTAGTTAAAAAGTAAAGAGCAAAGTTTCGATCCCCCAGAAGACCCTACCAATACCATCAGGGCTAGCAGCTTCCTAACGCACGCCAAGCTTCGATCTGAACGCATCGTTTTCCTGGGTCCTCCTGGCTCCATCAACTGATGATTCGGTGAGTTCATATGTATATGTGCACATGTATGTATGTGTGTGTGTGTGTGTGTAAATGTGTGTGTGTATAAAGCAGCATAGAGCCATCCTTCTCTCTCCCACGCAGAACGAAGTTCCTGCATTGCATGCACGCCACTCACATTGGTTTCATTAAGAAACAAGCAGCTGGCGTGGCAGCTAAGGCGCTGTTCTGCCTGACTTCCTGGGCTCCCCGATCCTCCTGCCTGCCCGCCTCTCCCTCAGAGCTGCTCCCTCCAGTCCTCTCGCCCCCAGAGGGCAGCCGCCCCTGGGCCCTCTCTGACCACCTGTGCACAGTGGGGAGGGACCGCAACTGGCCTGCAAGCAGCTGTGAAAGTAAAGTTTCCCCCAGTTTACAGAAAAGGGAGGGGGGAGAGACAGAGAGAGAGAGACAGAGAGGGAGAGAGACAGAGAGAGAGAGAGAGACAGAGAAAGACAGAGACAGATAGAGACAGAGAGACAGAGATAGAGAGAGACAGAGAGACAGACAAGAGAGTTACAAAGAGACAGAGACCAGACACACACACACACACACACACACACACACACACACACACAGAATGTGTGTGTTCTACAGCTGCTTTTAAAATACATCGCAAAACAGCTTTTTGCACAGAACCAGAGGCCAATCACCCAACTTGGGCTCTGGAAAGGAAGCCTTCAAAGAACAAGAAAAACCCTGAAAGTGAAGCCCAGAACCTTCCTTTGTGGGTGGCTGTCACTCCCTCAATGAACGCCCCGGGGCAGGCCTTGAAGGACAGCTGAGCCCCCCCCTTGCTGTGGCCGCCGCTGCTGCTGCTGCTTTTAAGTGTAACTTGTGATGGAAATGGAGGAGGAGGGAGAAAGAAGCGAGAGAGATGAGGAGGCTTGGAGCCGGCGCTCCACTCTCCGCTCTGCGCTCCCTCTCCTTCTCTAGGTAGGTCAGTGGAGTAAGAAGAGCGCTACTATTCCTCAGGTGACATGGATCAAGACCCATCAGAATACAGAGGGATACAGAGACCTTCTCTCTCGGAAAGCTAAAGATCGCTTTCTCCTTGGGCTCTGTCCTTCCCTTCCAAGAAAAACATTTGCCATTTAAATTTTATTCCATGATCGATTTTCGTTGGTGTATTTGATTAGAACCATTTACTCCCTCCCTCCTTCCCTCCTTTCTTCCCTCCCTCTCTTCCTCTCTCCTTCCTTCCCTCCCTCCCTCCCCTCCTCTCTCCTTTTTTAATTCCAGTACTGGGACTTGAACTCAGGCCCTCAAGCTCTCGTTTGGATTTTTCTGCTCAAGGCTAGTGTTCTACCACTGGAGCCACACACATCTCCACTTCCAGTGTGTTTTGCTGCCTGATTACACTGAAGAGTCTCGTGGACTTTCCTGCCCTGGCTGGCCGCGAACTTCGGTCCTCATCTATGACTTCTGGGTAACTAGGGATATTTTCTTAATACTCCTTGGTGATGAATCGTGGCCTACGGGTATGTAATTCCAAATGCTTTGGTGAGGGCAGTGAAACAGTGGCATGTTTTCTGGAACTTTCCAAATTTCCAGGCAGAGATGTCACGTAGGTCAAATATTTGACAAGACGGGTGTTATCTCTCTCTGGGTTCTAAGTTAGGCTGATGTCCTCGCTCACTTAGAAGACAAGCCCTTCGCTCTCTAGGAAAACATGTGCAGACACACATGTGCAAAAAGAGCCCATGAGAAGAAATCTGGCAGTGTGCAAGATGGGTGTGATGGGTATCCACCAAAAACGCACACAGTCATACATCACGTACATCGATGGTAATGACCACGTGCATTAACTGTCTCAAAATGAATCCCAACTTAGAATGCATAATCCTAAGGATCCTTAATAGTAACAAATAAGAAATGTCAACTGCTTATAATGCTCTGAGGGAAAAAAATGCCTTTACATGAGTTGAAAGGACAATGTGCTTTTCATTCATTCTTTCTTTCTTTTTTTTTTTTTGGTCAGTCTTGGGGCTTGAACTCTAGGCCTGGGCGCTGTCCCTCAGCTCTTCAGCTCAAGGCTAGCACTCTACCACTTGAGCCACAGCGCCACTTCCGGCTTTTTTCTTTTTGCTTATGTGGTGCTGAGGAATCGAACCCAGGGCCTCATGCATGAAAGGCAAGCGCTCTACCACTGAGCCACCTGCCCAGCCCTGTGCTTTTATTTCTATAAGAAGAAATTTACCTTTTTCCTGCATCCTCCCCAATCCTCCCCCTCCCACCCCCCAATTCCCAGAAATTTCAGGTTTGGGTAGTCAATCTCTGTATGCCATAAAGATTTTCTCTTAGTCTTCTGTGGTGGTAGATTTAAATTAAACTAAAGAAAGGAACAACATCAACGACAAACGAATCACATCGCAGCCGGGTGCCAGTGGCTCACACCTGCCATCCTAGCCTCTCAGGAGGCTGAGGTCTGAGGACTGCAATTCAAAGCCAGCCCAAGCAGGGAAAAGTCCATGAGACTCTGATCTCCAATGAACCACCAGAAAACTGCAAGTGGAGCCGTGGCTCAAAGTGGGAGAGCGCTAGCCTTGAGCAAAGGAGCTCAGGGACAGCACCAAGGCCCTGAGTTCAAGCCTCAGGACCGGGAGGGAAAAAGTAAAATAATAACAAAGTAAGCTAAAGCATGTTAAAGATATAATGAAGTTCCAATATTAAATTAAATATATATATATATATATATTATATATCTACCATTAGCTCTACACTAATAGTGGTTACTCAGGAGGCTAAGATCTGATGTTACAGTTTGAAGCCAGCCTGGACAGGAAATTCTGTGAGACTCATATTTCCAAGTCATCATCCAAAAAGCCCAAAGTAGAGCTATGGCTGTAATGGTAGAGGGCTAGTCTTGAGGAGAAAAATTAAAAAAAAACAAAAACAAAAAAAGGCTTCAAGGAGAGCTCCCAGGCACTGAGTTCAAGCCCCAAACCCAGCACAAAGAGATTAAAAACAGCCACATACCAGTATGGCTCATGGCTATAATTTTAGCTACTCAGGAGGCTGAGATCTGAGGCTCTCTGTTCAAGGCCAGCCTGGGCAGGAAAGTCCATGAGACTCTCATCTCCAATGAACCACCTGAAAATTGGAAGTGGAGCTGTGGTTCAAAGTGGTTGAGCACTAGTCTTGAGCAAAATTGCTCAGAGACAGTACCCAGGCTCTGAGTTCAAGACTCATGGCCAAAATAAAAAACAAAAGCAAAAAACAACACAAACAAACACACACACATAGCATTCCATTCTTCCTTAGAAAGAAAACTGAGCACAGTTTCTGCCAGAAGCGCAGAAGAGATGGTAGAAATACTTTTCCCCAGCATCCTTTCTAACTCTCAACTTCCTGTCTGTACATTTAAATCAAAACAATCATGCACGCGTTACCTTTGATTTCTCCGAAGTTCCCTGATCCCATTGCAAGAAGCTTGTCTTTCCAGTCCTTTGAGAGTAGCTTTTCGATACTAGGTGTCTCTAAGTGGAGAAAACAAAACAGAACAACGTATAAACAACTCAACCTCCTTCCAATGTCCACTCAACAAAGCCGACCCTGGCCGGGACCTTTCGGAAGGAAGCCATCCACGCTGATAATAAGGATGGGGAAAGGAAGGTGTTTTGTTTCCAGAATTATTAGCCTTTTCCGTGTGCAGAACAAAGCTCTACTAATTCTTTATGGCAATGTGGAGGGCATAGGCCTGTGGTCCATTTTTTTTTTTAATTTTCCTTTTTGATTTGGTAAACAGATTCCTCCTGGATGCCTGTCAATGTCAGGGTGGTTAGTCTGCCATCAAAAAATAATGACATCGATAAAATGCAGAGTGAGAAAAAAAATGAAATAAAGGCAAAGAATTAGCTCTTAAATCTGCGCCTTGTAATTATACCCCTGTGTGTGTTATGTGTACAATTACACGCACTTTATAATGTGTGTTTAACATCTCATGGTGGGAGAGCACACGGTGGCAAGATTTGCCAGCGTTGTGAACATTAAAATAAAAAAAATTTGATATAAAAGAAGCTTGGAAAAGATTGTAAAATCTAAAGAAGTAATACTTATCATGGAAACCTATTATTTGCTGATTTCTGGTTCACATCATAGGCTTCCTTCCCCCCAAAAGCCTGGTATTGGGGTAGCGCGCACACATTTTTGTGCTTTAGTGTGGTGTTTGTTTCTGTCTATCTCTTGGTTGGCAACCTCTCCTATTGTGTGGAATTTAATGTATAAGTAAATATAAATGCTAATAAAACTCCCAAACAGCAAAGTCAGTTCTCCACGACGTAATTGGCTATTCTTGTCGGCATTTAGATGTGTACACAATTACCATGGTTTGCAATCCCACGATTAGCCCCAGCATTCAGTCAGAAAATAGAATGTTCTAGAAGATAAGTATCCCAGTATGCCGCATCTAAATAACAATGCCCACACTTATTATCTGGATGGAAGACATGTACTGCCTTTCTCTACACTGGTGTTTATGTGTATTTGTGTCTGCTCAGGCATTTGTTTACCCCCTGCTGGAGACATAAAGTTAACTTATCAAAGGGGCCTTCTGTCCCACAGAGAAAGACCGTAACGTTATTAGAATCTGGTTAGTTTCCCCTGACAGACAAGTTCATCTCAAAGAGTCCTCCTCACCTTCGGCTAATGTCAAATACTTTTTATTTTCTCCCCTTCCCCAGGGACTCGAATTACAGCCAGCCACAAAGCCTGGGTGAGGTTTTGACCAAAGCACAGATTCAAATTTCTCTCCGAAGTGAAACACTTCCGGCAGTCAAAATACAGATCTATATTTTTGAATTGGGAGGGGGAAAGGGAAGCGTAAAGAATGTACTTTTACCAGACGACAAATACACTGGGACATGACAAAGTATACAGGGCTCTAGACATTCACACCTGAGATCAAAGGAGGATATTCTTAAAAGAGGGTCCCAAAGGCTCTAGAGCCAAGAGCATATGAAATAGTGGTTGGCCAAATGAACTCTAAGACATGGAAACAAGAGTGGTTGTTGTTTTAAATCTTTGTTGCTGTTTTCCTTTTCTGTACCTTTTGTCTTGGTTTTAAGTGTCTGTATTTGGGAGAAGATGAGGGGCAGAAACACAAAGGTGTAGAAATGCAACTGTGGTCCTCACTGGACACTGTTTGGAAAATGAACTCTATCACTTGTGGATGAGGACAGGAAGAAAAAAAAACTGGGGTAACATTGTCCAAAAGGAAATGTTTTCATTATCTGACTTACGTAATGATAACCCTTCTGTATATCACCTTTACAATAACTATATATATATATATAAATACACACACACACACACACACACATATATAAAGAATTTACTTTTACTTTTTCCTAAAACATCCCTTTTGTACCCCTCATTGTTTGGAAACCAATTTGGTAATTCTGGAGAGCAAGAACACAGAGGAAAGATCTCTGCGTGGAAATCAATAGCTCAAGTCTACTGATGGCTTTCATAATAAGTTTAAAGAAACTTCTGCCAGGGTTTCCCACATTTCTATTCCATTCTCGGTAAGCGGCGTATGCCAAATCACTTCTTAAACTTATCAGAGGTCAAAGAAAAAAAAATACACTTTCTTCTTTTTTTTTTTTTTCCTCCTTAGCCCTCTACAAAAATTCCTGAGTAGCATGTAAACAGAACTCAGCCAACAGAGCGTTTGCCATAGAAAAGTGTCCGTCATTAAAAGCTAACACACCTTTGGAAAGCAGGAATGCGGGCTACAGAAACCCATTGTGTGCGTACAATGGGCCCCTGAACTCTCAGGCCCCAAAGCAGACCATTTTACTTTGAAGACCATTGTCTACCAAGCCCAGAACAAAGACTTTCCCCAGCAGCTAGACAAAATATTCACTGTAGTGAAACTCACAAAGAAACAGAAGTCTTCTGTCTAAAGTTGCAGAGTTAAAGAAACAGTCACCCGATTGCTGAACGGTTTTGGCCTCTTTTATGAACTAGCGTAACCAGAGGCTCCTGGATTATGAGAAAGGGAATGAATAACTTCTCCAGGACCAAGTTGTTTCACAAATGGAGCATCGCAGCAGGGCCTAACTCCCGAGGACTGTCACATCTGTGATCAAGGAAGATGTTAACGCTGGGTGGGCTATGTACAGTCAACTAAGATGTACAGGTATTTCTTGAACAGCTTGGGTTCCAGGAACTCGGCTACAATTCTTTTAAAGGTTTATTTTGTTTTTTAGCCCATGTCCTCTTATTTTAGCACAGTAACCCACCTAAAGACCTAAAGTATATCAATACATCTGTGTTACAGATTTGAGGGGAGGGGGAGGGACACTCGATACAAGGTAAGAAGAGACTGGGGTGGCATTGCATGAGAAGAATTGAAGGCGTGGGTTAATTACTTTTCTCCACAAATTCCTGACACTTATCCGCAGGGAAAGGACGGGGCAAGCCGTTATTTTCTGAAGGCGGAGTCTCGGCCCCGGCCAGAAGCCTGATGTGGCATCACATGATGTGACATCACGCTTCCTTCCAGAATCTTCCAAGGACCCATACATGTCTGACTGCTTAAGGAACCGGAGTTAAGGAAGACACGGTGGTTTTCCCCAGATGGAGCCGGGTTCCAGGCTTGGAACTCAAAAGTCTTTGCCACTTCCAGGATTCCCTCCAGGTCTGTCTGTCTCGACTTTCTGTCTCTCTGGGCTCTCTCTCTGTCTCTCCTCTCTTTCTTTGTCTTTTGGTTCCTTTCTCTTTCTTTGTCTCTTGTCTGTCTGTGTCTGTCTGTCTGTCTTGGTCTCTCCCTCCCTCTCATCTATTAAAGCATTCTAGGAAGTAGAAAAACACCGTCACTAACCCCACTAGCGGTGTGAAAGAATAAATCAACATCCCAGGATGCTACATGCATAGGAATAGCAACTATGAGATCCAAACGCAAGAATCCTTTATCATTCTCCTTCTATGGTACGCTCCCATTTCTGCCCAGTTTAGTGAAAGCCGGCTGACCGGGAGAGGTGGTTCATTTTGCTTTGACGGTGGAGGTGGTACTGGGCACTTCAGGCTCTGAGCGGTGACTCTAGTAAGCTGGGCCAGTGGCAGGTAGGGGTGAGGGCTCCGGGGGAGGGGGCAGGGGTGAGTGCTCATTTGTCAGTAACTAGCTCCAGGAGGCCCACATCCAGTTCCCTAGTGGCTGATCTGTCTTCTTCTTTTATTTTTTTGTTCCCCCTTTTCCCTAATGAAATGCTAAAGAGTGACGGCCCAGCCATCAACGCCCAGCAGACATATAGAAGTGATCCAACTTCTCAAAAAGCACTAAAATATTGCCCAGGAATCCCGGTATTTACAATGCACCTGCTCACTAATCTGCGAATGAACTAAGTGAAAGATATCATTAGGCAAGCGCCTGCTTCAGAATTTATGAAGTGAAAGAGACAATAGTTGTCCCCTGACGAACGCATTTCTAAAATGAGATGTAGGAAACACATACAATTGTGGGTTTTATTTTTGTTGCTGTTGTTTTGGGTTTTTTTGCCAGTACTAGGGCTTGAACTCAGGATTTGAGGTTCTTACTTAGCTTTTCGCTTAAGACTGGCACACGACCACTTGACTCTCGCGTCTACTTCTGACTCTTTTTGGAGGTAAATGTCTCGTGCACTTTCCTGTCTGGGCTGGCTTTGAACCACAGTCCTCAGATCTCAGCCTCCTCTGGAGAAGCTACGGTCAGAAATGGTGTGAATAAGGTGCTGTGTTTAATTCAATATTATTTTTTAAGTATTCAAGTTGTAGACAATTTACATTTTTGTGAAGATTTTTGTTTGTCGGTCACAGGCTTGAACTCTGGGCCTGGGCGCTGCTCCTCAGCTCTTCAGCTCAAGGCTGGCGCTCTACCACTTGATCCACAGCACCACTTCCAGCTTTTTCTGCTTGTGTGCTGCTGAGGAATCGAACCCGGGGCCTCATACATGCGAGGCGAGCGCTCTCCCACTGAGCCACCTTCCCAGCCTGATGTGCTGTGTTTTTAAATGTTTAAAAGATCATTCTCTGGAGGACTGGGGGGTCAGGATTCCCTTCCAACACAGCACCTAGGGCTGCTTGCACTGAAGCAAGGGTGAACGTCAACACTTACTTACATTTAGAGTGTTTTGCTACCACAGGCTAGCAGTCCAATTATTTAATCCATGTGACAGTTCAGGAAACTAAGATCTTAGAAACATGATTGGCCCAACATCATCAAATCAGAAAGTAGAACCAAGGTGATTCAAAACCAGGTCTTTTTAATTCAAGGATCTGTTTAATGGAAATTCAAATGCATATAAACACACACAAATATGTATATATTCACATATATACACACATAAAGGTACATGTGAATATATGTATGCGTGTGTGTGTGTGTGTGTGTGTGTGTGTGTGTGTGTGTGTGTGTGTGTGTGTGTGTTGACACTGGGAGTTGAACTCAGGGCCTCGCTGCTGTCTGTTAGTTTTTTCACTCAAGCTACACCTCCCTGTC